GGGGTCCCCTCCCAGGAAGGTGTGTGTGTGTGTGGGGGGGGAGTGGGGGTCCCCTCCCAGGAAGGTGTTTGTGGGGGGCGCAGAGAGAGACCCCTCCCTCACCCAGTAACCCCTCTAGGTGGGTGTGTTAGTTAGAGGAAGATCGTTAATGATAATATACGCGGTCGTACCGTCGCCGGGGGTGATGACATCTCTCCGCACTCCCATCCTGGTCGCTTTGAATGCTCTGATAGCGGCACGCTGGACGTAGTGACGTCGGGGATCCGGGGCAGCGCGCGCCGCGCCCTTGCTCGCCTTCCATTGGCTGCCGAGCCGACCCCGCCCACTGAAGAGTTCTAAACACCAAACAGAGCCGCTCGTTCCACACTCCGAGCTCACTAAACCAGACAAGCTTTTTAAATGGGATCCACAGCAGCGGCCCTTCATACACCGTCTAAAAACTGTCTCGAGTTCGTTGGTCCGTCTCCACCAAGATGTCGCCGACATTTGCTTCTCTAGTGTGTAGCGATCTGCGTCATCGTGGTGACGTACGGCGTATGAGGGTGCGGCGGCCATCTTAACTGTGGGCAGGCCCATTCAAGCGTCGCACAAAGTGCCCTTTTTAAAGATGGCTTTAAACTATGTGAACCCTGGGGCCATTCAAGGGAGGGGAGCCCTTTGTTGCAAGAGCAGAGGAAGGAAAGGGAATGACAGTGTGTGATGGATTAAACATAGCCCTTAGGAATGGCTTTATAAACACATCATAGACAAAGACAGGTCCTTAAAGGGAAACTGCCACTTAACATGATATATATATATTTTTATTATTATATTAACTTGTCACATCTAATCTAACAGACATGTGTTTGGTCTGGGAAAAAAAATAACATTAAATGTGAAAAGCCACAATGCTCTATTTAGCTCTACCCTGGTACTGGGTGCCGCCATCTTGGCTCCCCTTCAATCAGCCTCTAACCTCTGCCCTTGGCACCTGTCAGCCAGCCCAGTGAAGGCATAGATAGAGGAGGAGAAGAAACAGAAATATTATTTATAAATGTATGTTTGTGGTAAAATTGTTTTCACAACTCTATAGCATCTGCGCTTATGTATACAACACTTTAGAGACTGTACTGCAATAATTGCGCACACAAAACTCCATACTTTGGTGATTCATAAACTGAATGACAAAATTTAGGCCGCAATAGCCAAACTGTGCCTATAGTTAAGTTGTAAAATGTTTAAAGATTAGCTTCTTTGTCCTTAATTTTCCTATTCTGATTTCAGTTTGCTACAATTCAATGTTCAGTAAATAACCCCTACACATTTTTAATTTACCTCTTAAACAAAATAGAGCATCACATTGAAGGAGCACTATACAGTCAAGAACACAAACCTCTATTCCTGACCCTATAGTGTTAAAATCAACATCTAGCTACCCTGGTCCTCCCTTGCCTCCTTAAATATAATAAAATCTTACTGGTATTCAAGTCTGGAGCTGCTTGATTGTCCCTGTTTCCTTTTGACCTGTCCACTGCCTGCTGACATCAGCAGAAGTGGTAGCCTGATCAAATCACAATGCTTCCCCATTAGCGATGTCCCGAACGGTTTGCTGCGGACAGCGAACATATGCGGTAAACGTTGACCCTGTACCTCACAGTCAGCAGACACATTCCAGCCAATCAGCAGCAGACCCTCCCTCCCATACCCTCCCACCTCCTGGACAGCTCACTAAGAATGCAGCTTCACAATGAATGTAAAATGTATGGTGTCCAGGAGGTGGGAGGGTCTGGGAGGGACGGTCTGCTGCTGATTGGCTGGAATGTGTCTGCTGACTGTGAGGTACAGGGTCAAAGTTTACAGCATATGTTCGCCGTCCGCGGCGAACCGTTCGGGACATCACTATTCCCCATAGGATTGGCTGAGACTGACGAAGGGGCCAGCATGATTCAAACACAGCCCTGGCCAATCAGCATCTCCTCATAGAGATGAATTGAATCAATGGTAGGACTAGGTTTCGTAACTCTGGCTATCAGTATACAGAGAAAAGACACCAACTGGAGAGAGGTGCTACCATAACCACTGATGCCAGATCCCCAAGTATCATGGCAAGTAGGGAAGGCAGGAGTTAATGCTCAATAGTGATGGCGAAATGAGGGGGTTATGCCGAATGATGGCCTGTGAGGGACCTCCATTAGACAACACCCCCATTCACTCTCTCATCACTATTTGGCACCACCCCCCCCCTCCCCCCATCTCTCGTCAGCAATATTAAAATACTTCTTCAGCATTAATGATTGAATCTGAACTTTCCAGTATTTAATCAAAACTAATATTTTATCAAAAATTACCAAGCTCTGCCTCTTGGAAGCACTGCAGTGTCTTACTATGTGTGTCCATTTTCACTAACCGTTATAGTAACATGTAGTAAATCAAAGTGCAACATTTAAATGATTATTCATTAAACTCCAAATTGCTGAAACATGAAAGGCAAGATTTCTGCTAAAAAAGCCAAACTGTAACTATAAAATTAAAATAAATTCCAAGCTTTTATGGACAGAAGATACAGGTACAGAAAATTGTAGACATCCCCAGTTTATGACAGATGTAGTCACTCTTTATAGAAAGTAATAAAAAAATAAATTTAAAAAAATGGTGAAAACTTAACTTTGGCTTTTTTTTCTTTCCCAATGCAAGAAGCTAGAGCCTGATTTCACAAACCGATGAGGTTGCAAATGATCCCTTTGGTACATTCAGAACAATAAGCAGTGCAACCCATTTTCAGTTACAAGAATGCTTTTATATATATATATACACACACACCATACAAGAGGCCACATTCTTAATGCCACAGTAAAAGCCGGCTAAGTATGCATGATTTGGGAGAAGTTGATGTGAAAGAGGAAATGACGAATGTGACAAAAGAAAAATAATTAACATGACTTTGTATTTCTGTGAATAAGAGTGTGTCTGGGACTAAGGATCAGCAAGTAATTTAGCAAACTCTCCCTGAAATATCTTTAAAATCTCAGTCCAGATTTTAACGATAACGAGGACACAGCACAGGTATGTCAGTTTGAGTACTACACCTATGCTAAATTAAACTACATGGTAACTTCTGAGTGACAAATACTTATATACTAATAACTTGTACTGGCTTGTTTATAAATTTTCGATGTGAGAGCTTGTACTGCAGTTGCATACATGCCAGTCAGCAACTTGATTCGTTCACAAAATAAAAAACAGACCCTCCATAAACCACAAATAAAGATATTCAGGAGGCCAATAGGATCAGAGTTTGTGGTGACTCCTAGACTGCATACTCTATAAAGCCTTACTGTGTAGGAGTTTAAGGGATATGACTAGGGCTACCAATGAAATCAGTGGCTACATAATCTCAGCCAATTCTTTTCCGATTTGCAAGAAAGAAGACATATTTAGTGGAGTGTATCTGATGTCTTTTTTGAAATTTTCTTTTTCATATTTACTGCACAGATTACAATTTGCTAAATTTGTAAAACGTTATGTAGGGAGGGAAACCGGGAAGAGGAGTTATCACCATAGAAACACCATTAAACTGGTTTTCATTGTGATTTTACCACTTGTAGAACATTTTGAAGTCTGTTAGGGTCACTTTTAGTAATCTCCTCTGTAATATCTGAATACCAATGACACTAGCCATCGTCTTAGTGTTGCTTACTCTCTGTACCAACAAATACTTTAGTAATAAAGTGCATGCCTACGAATTCAATACTTATTACAATACTACACTTTATAATTATTTAAATCTTTTTTGCTTTATAGCATCGGTCACCTAATAGTATACTTTCTTCCAGGACATTGAAGAGAATTATAGTTTTTGTTGCATTACTATAGTCTAATTATTATTTTCAGGTCTTTCTCACTCGCACACTATGAGGGATGATCAGGATCCCATGAAAGCATATCCCAAATTATTCCTTGTTTAGGAGATGACAGATTAATTTAAACTGTTAACACACAGATATCTTTCCTTTAAGCTAAGGAAATGCATAAGAAATATGTATGTAGATACAAAACTGAAAGTGTTGATATGTCATGAGATATGGAATTGTATACATACTAGAATCAATATAGATAAACAAATCTAAACTACAAACTAAGTCTAGAGCTAGGGGAATTCTAAAATACATAAAACGTGCCATGTTGAGCCTCTTACACAGACAGAAATTGTACCCAGTTATAAAAATATTCACACAGCATTATCAGATATTATTTACGTCCATGTTTGACTGTGTGCATGTGTGTTATAGAATGTTACCTGAATGGGTACATGTATAGAATGTCAACAATAGGAACTATACATACGCAATATGAAGACTGTATACATATATCAGATTGCGTTGTTGATGGATTTCTTGAACATACTGTGTGTCATGGTACAGATTACATGGTATCTTGAGAATAAGTGAGGCATGGTACCGGTAACATAAGTAATACACTTCCATCAAATCCAGTGCATTGTGGGGGTACCTATTTTGTACCCAAGATCTTAAAGAAATCCTATCACTTTTGACGAAATTTGACATAACCCTTCGTTAAAGAACTGTGTGTGCAATGCTGAAGATATATTTAAAGTAAAGTAAGAGTTGCTTAAAGAGGCTCTGTCACTCCAAACTTACATTTCTTGTATGGTTTCCTCTTTTCTTTTATTTCTCTTTAAAATAGAAGACAATGTAGGGACTACTTTGTCTTGTGTATTTTTCCTACTTCTGGGATGGAGCTTAAAGGACCACTATAGGCACCCAGACCATTTCAGCTCAATGATGTGGTCTGGGTGCCAGGTCCCTCTAGTTTTAACCCTGCAGCTGAAAACTAATGACCCTATAGTGCCAGGAAAACAAGTTTGTTTTCCTGGCACTATAGTGGTCCTTTAAGGCAAGTTCCACTTCACTTAATCTAAGAAAGGGTGAAGCGTGCCTTAAGTTCCACCATTTATCAAGAAAAAATACACAAGTCAAAGTAGCCCCTACTTGGTTTCATGCTTTCAAAAGAGAAATAGATCAGAAAAAGAAAAGAAGAAGATCAGATTCTGAAAGAGGGAGAGAAGAGGAATCAATAGGAAAAAGGCAAGTGTGAGGTGACAGCCACTTTAAGTAGGTCTATAAAAAGGTTCAGAAAGACAGACAGAATTTTAGTTTACATCCACAATGAAAGTTTGCCCTTTTTGTTAGCAGCCATTCATGGTATCTGCATTTTTAAGCAAAATTTAAAAGAGGACAATGCATAAGAAAAGGCTATACGCTGATGAAAGCAGCCACCATCAGCACATACAACTGATTTGCATTTATTATCCGACATGAATGTGACTAAACTCAACTGAGTCAGAGTGGGGCATGGGGCAAATAGCGGCTATATTATTTACAGACAGCTGCAGCTCTTATGAATAGGAAGAAGGGACAGAGCGGTTCCTGCGCCAAAACACGCCCAAGGAACTGGTTATTGTACTTGGAGTCCACTTTGTCAATA